CCTGCAAATCCTCTCCCCAGATTTGGGAGCTGGATTTTGCTGCTGACACAGAGTGGTGCGGTCGAGATGCCACCAGGGATCTGCCATGTCCCTGTCAGCTCAGTGCAAGGGCTACAGAACATCTCCAGCATCCTGGAGTTTTGGTGAGAGATCAAGAGAGACTCCAGGGTATCACAGCAGTAAGAGATGCCTGGTTTTGTACAGGCTCCCCATGCATGATAACAAATCTGGAGATTAAGCCTGAATTGAATTCACTGTAACTAACATGCTAAAGGGAAGGTGCCCTGGCATTTTATCAGCCACAGCATGGATTGGGTTGGAATAGACCTTTAAGATCATTCTGTTCCAGCCCCCTGCCATGGCCAGGGACACCTTCCTCTATCCCAGGTTGCTCCAAGCCCTGTCCAAGTTGGTCTTGGGCACTGCCAGGGGTCCAGGGGCAGCCACAGCTGCTCTGGGCACCCTGTGCCAGGACTTCACCTGCACTTCACATTGCATGGGAACTTGGTTTGCTAGGACAGAAGGAAATCATCCAGCTCCTCCTGAAGAGTGAGATCTAACTACATGACCATCTTTGCAGATCTTCAGGACTGGATTTCCCTGCTGCCAGCATAAATCTGGGGTAACACCATCTAAACCCTTGAGTGTTTGTGCTGTGTCCTGGGTCCTCACCTTCCCGAGCTGCCCAGTGTTGGTTTCTGTCCTTATTGATTTCTGCAGCAATTTCTGCTCAGTGTTTTTCAGCGAAAGGGAATGACCTGCTTGCCACCCTGTGCTGGCAGATTTAACTCTGCAGCCTGCACTGACCTCAGCTCCCACATCCAATAAAATGCCTCAATATCCTTTCCCCTGCAGCTCGTGCTGCCTCTGTGAGGTGGCAGCACATTCTGATCACGGAGTGAGCACAAAACATTTACAGGTTGAAAACAGTGTTCAGCTAATTCATGGGAGAGAAATTCCTGAAGGGCTGTTAAATGCAGCGACAGCACTTCTGGATGTCCAAGAGCAACAAAGTGAGCCCAGGGCCTGTTGCTCAAGGCAATACCACTGCCTGTTTTCCCTGTTCTCACACTCTTCTCCAAGCTCTTGATTCTCTGCTCAATTCCTTGACTCTTGAGCCTTGCTGGACACAGGACCAGAGCTGGATGGGCCATGCACCCACACATGTGGATGTTCTTCACTCTCTGCCGGCTCCAGGTGTCCTTTTGTGAAGTAGCTCAGCTTACAGCAGCCCATCCAATTCCTTTGAAGTCAATGTGACTTCAGGGCTCAAGGAGCAGCCCCAAGGCACCACTGATGTCCTCTTTCATGAATTTGTGCTATCTGGGCTGCAACAGACCACAGAGTGGTGGAGACTGGGAAATGCACCAAGACAGAAAGTGCCATTGTGTATGGGTTGGTGTCAATTAACTTCTGAACGTTCTGAATAAATTAAATTATGCTGCAATCTGAAACGAAACTAATTCTTAATTAAAAGATAAGATATTTCTTAATCCTCAGATGATTTAAACAACAACAAAAAAAAACATAGTGAAGTGTGGGAATCACAGGCCCCCTTGTCAGTGGCTGAGCAGTTTCGGTGCCAAGGCCCTGAGCCATTCAGAGTAACCTCAGAACAGTCCCTGCTTTGAGCAGGCTTTGGGCAAGGCCACCCCCAGAGATCTCCTTCAGCCCAAATCAAGGGTGTGTAGGGATAGGACAAAGGCTAATGACTTTAAACTGAAAGAGGGGAGATTTAGGTTGGATATTAGGAATAAATTCTTCCCAGTGAGGGTTGGAAGGCACTGGCACAGGTGGACCAGAGAAGCTGTGGCTGCCCCATCCCTGGAAGTGTCCAACAGGTTGGATGGGGCTTGGAGAAGCCTGGGATAGTGGGAGGTGTCCCTGTGCATGGCAGGGGAGTGGAATTAGATGATCTTTAAGGTCCCTTCCAACCCAAACCCAAACTATGATTCTGTAACTCTCCTTTACTCCTTGCATTGTGAACTCACCTGTTGGATGCTGAAGAATCAGGATCTGGTTTGGAGACCTTGCTGATGAACAAGTGCAGCAGGTGTGAAGTAGCCTGGTGTAATGTGTCAAAATAAAAAACCACTGAATATTTCCTTTTTTATTTCTAAAGTTCATTCTGGAGAACAGTAGGTGGGTTCCTCTGATACCAGAGAGTGGCCTCTGTGTACTGAGAAGTCCTTATTCCCAGGACCAGGAGTTTCTGTCTCCCACTGAGCATGAGGACTTGGAAATCTTTCTTTTATCAGCCCCCAATAAATTCTAGGAAATATGGAGAAAAGCTTCATTCCAGTCACTACAGACAAAATAAAAATAAAGGTTCCTGCTTTGTCTAGTTGCTTACCAGGGGATGTGCTACAGCACGGAGCTATAACTTACAGCTAAATAACACACTGCAAGGAAACATAAATCACCACAAAAAGCCAAGAAGGAAAGTCTTATACAAGCACAATCTAGCCCGTGGGAGGCAGTGGGTTTTGAGGCTGGGAGGAATGAAATCTCAGGCCTCATGCTTTCCTACAATGATTTAGTCCCACTATCACCTGAGCAGCTCCCCCTTTATTTCAGTTGTGTGAGTGAAGAATAAGTCTGAACAATCATTTTGCCTTAGTCCCAATACAGGCTGTCTTTTTGTTGACCCAAACCTGGATTTTTTTCCCCATTATTAAAATTATTCTTTTCAGTCATTGCCTTGTATAAGATGTTCTGCTGCAGTACAATAAAGCACACATTTTAAAACATTGCCATAAAGGAGAAAGCACCACCCCTGGCCGTGGCTGGGTTTGATCCTTTTGGAGGAAGCTTTCAAGACCCTGGACATCAACAGAGCTGTTCCTGATTTGTGCTGGTGCAAACAAGGGGAGAAGTTGCCTTCCCATGCATGGCTCATCACCTTGGGTGCCAGCAGACTTTGTTCCCTCCACAGTAGAATTTAGGTTTTTGCGGGATGCTGACTTGCACTCATGCCTCAGCCAAGGTTCTAAAACAGTCTATCTCCATAAAAACGCTGTAACAAACTGTCCCCTCATGTTTCACAAACCTCCTCTGCCTCTGCTCCTGCAGCGAGCTCCAGCATTTCACAGGGCTGAGTCCCCATCTCTGAAAACGTGGGGACAGCAATTTTAAGACAACTTCCCCTGTAAACAGCAAACTTCTATGTTTTTCATAATGGCTGTCCTGATATATCTTAAAGCCATAATTATTTCTGGAATTCTTTTCCTCTCAGATCCATAATCTGTTGCGATAAACAAAATTCAATGATTAAAGAGGCTGTACTCCCTCCTTCACTAAGGATTTTTTTCAGCATTTTAATTTAAAGGCCTATCCTTCCCCCAGCTGTAAGGATTTTATGGATGTACTCACAGAGAGAATCAAGATAGATATGCAAAGTTAAAGCTTTATCAGCTCACATAGAAGTTTTTATTTTCACGCTTCTACTCTGGAAATTGAGAGTCATACCATCTTCTCGCAGATACAGTTAAAAAACTCCTTTTCCTTTCTCTGTCAGAGATTCCAAAAGGAAATTTACAAAGCTGTCCCAAAAAGTCATAAGGAACCTATTTTATATACAGCCCTCTTCCCAAGAATGCTGTAGGTTTAGGGTAATTACTTGTTCTTGCAGTTTTGTGGGTTAAAATAAACGATCACTGTAGTTTGTTTTTCTTACAGCCCGATGTTAAGGTCTTTGCATTTCTGACTTTAAGTGGAGCTGGGCCTTAGAAAAGGCTGAGGATTAAGAGTTTAACATAATTTAATCTCTTCAAATCTTTTAGCAGACTGTGTGGTTTGCAGATGGTTTTGGTTTTAAGGTTTTTTTTCTTTTTTGTTTCGTGGGGCTGGAAGATGGAGCTGGGAACTCAAATCCTGATCTTGCACTGCCACTTATTTCCTGGGTGGTCTGGAAGAAAACACTCTTGAATTTCTTGTCTTGAGGACTGGGTAGGGATGTTCCCCTCCCCTTATGAACACTCCCACCCCATGGGGCACTGAGAAGAGCAGGTATTGGGGTGGGAGCAGCCCCTGGGGCTGGGGGGGCTCGGGGTCTGGAGTCATGGAATCACAGAGAGTCCTGGAGTTATGGAATCATAGAGTCATGGAATCATAGAATCATGGAATCATAGATACATAGAAACATAGAATCCTACAGTCATAGAGTTGTAGAACAGTTTATGTTCAAAGGGACCTCCAAAGGCCACCTAGTCCAGCCCCCCTGCAATGAGCAGGGACATTTCCAGTGACATCAGGTTGCTCAGAGCCCCATCCAAGCAGACCTCAAATATTTACAAGAATGGTGCATCCACCACCTCTCTAAGGAACCTGTGCCAGTCCCTCACCACCCTTATGATAAAAACTTTCTTCTCTTGGAAGGCACTACTGCTTGTCCCATGGAATCTTGTATGGTGAGGAGGCCCTGGCACAGGGTGCCCAGAGAAACTGTGCCTGCCCCTGGATCCCTGGAAGTGTCCAAAGCCAGGCTGGATGGGGCTTGGAGAAACCTGGGATGGTGGAAGGTGTCCCTGCCCACGGCAGGTGGTGGAACTGGATGAGCTTTGAGGTCCCTTCTACTCGAATTATTCTGTGCTCCTGTGATTTTATGACTCAGATAAATGGTGTGGGTTCACTGGGAGGGTAAAGCTGGCACCTCCATCTGGGAAGGAGTTTATTACTAACTAATAATGGGTTGGAGGATGAGGATGCAGACACTCTCCAGAGAGATGGCAGCAGGACTTATCATCCCTGACTATTTTCTGCCCTTTTTATTTTAACCTCTGTGTCTCTAAACAACACCATGGCTCTTCTCCCTACACCCAACCCAGTGGACACTCACAATCCCACGTGCTGGGGATGTTCCCTGTCTGTGCTGGCCCCTGAGTCATGCCCAGGGTCTGCCCAGGAGATTCCAGAGATGAGATTCCAGGAGAGACCAAGCCCACGTCATGGCCACAACCAACACTACACCTGACTGAATGAACATTTCCCTCTACAGACATGCATTTCCTCATTTCCTGCTTCATTATGAGCATGCCCCAGCATCTGCTTAGTGGAGGATGATCTTAGAAGAGGTATTAGGAGGCCACTTGTGCGATGGGATCTTTGTCCTGCCTGGATGAGTCACCAAAACCTCGAGGTAGGCACACAGAGAGTTTTGTGTCCCCCAGAGCCTCCCATCCTACTGCCTGGACAAACAGCCTCACCCTCAAGCAAATTAAAAAAATAACCAAAACAGTGTTTTTGACTCTCCCAGGACAGCTCGAATGGACTGTGGAAAAGCTGAGTGAGGGTGTGGTCCCTGCTGCAGGGAGAGCAAGACAGAGAGAACAGATAGGTAGGGTCATTTAATTTGACCTAAAAAGGAAATACAGGGTTAAATTCCTCATCCCGAGATATCAGGGCAGTCTCATGAGGAGGCAGAGGGGACAGCAGCACGTCCCCTGTGCATGATGTGGCTGACTTGGGAGGAAAGGGCTGCAAAACCCTTCCTGCCCATCCCATGGCAGCTGTGTTCTCTCTCCTCTTCCCACAGCCACAGCCTGGGACTGGGCTGGTTGATACACCCTCAGAATGAACAATTTGCAATGATATGCAGATGGACAAATCCCACCAAGCTATTAAAGTGCTGATGATTTATTATTCATAGAATCATTGGATGGTTTGGGTTGGAAGGGACCTTAAGATCATCTCATTCCACCCCCTGTCATGGCAGGGACACCTTCCACTATCCCAGGTTGCTCCAAGCCCTGCTTGGACACTTCCAGGGGTCCAGGGCCAGCCACAGCTTCTCTGGGCACTCTGTGCCAGTGTCTCTGCCATTCAGTTTGTCACTGACCAGTGTCTGCCCTTGGCTAGATGTGGTACTACCAAAATTATGTCCATGGCTGACCAGCTCCCGTTGCTCTTGCAGAGGTGCAAACCCCCTCTCTGAGCACACCAAACACAAGGTGACCTTTCAGGTTGTTTTAAGCATCCCTTGTTCTGAAGGATGGTCCCTGGCAGTGACACCACCATCCCTGGGGAATGCAGGAGCCAGGGTGCTGGGGAACTCGGGAGAGCCTTGCAAGCCACCTTCCCCTTCCCTTTCTACCCCTCCAGCCCTTCCTTCTTTAAGATAATTAAGGGCACAGGAGAAATTAAGCTAATTCTGCTGGGGCTGCTGCACGTCTCTTATCACCAGTTCTGCCTTCCCTCCTTCCTACATACGTGTAATTAAAGCAGGTTTTTCTGCTGTAAGATAAAACACCTTGTTCTTCAAGACAATTTTCAGTCACAGCAGTGCTTGGCCTAAACTTTTAGCTCTTCTCACGGAAACTCCTCAAAAACTCATCCCAAATGCTCAGCTCCCTGTGGATTCAGGGTGAATTCCCCTTCCCAGGCAGTCCCCAGGGGGATGCTGCTGTAAAAGGGCTGTCAGTCTGTAAAGGGTCACTTTGGGTCACTGACCGACCCTCTCTGCAATCCCTGCCCAGTTGGCATTAAATAACAGCCTGTGCCATTTTTAAATGCTGCCATGGCAGTCGCTGTGGCAACCTTAAAACAGACCCCTGTGCCAAGCCCTAGGGCTGCTACAGCCACCCCGAGCCTTGGGGACAGATTTAGTAGAGGCACAAAGCAAAATAGCACCAAAGGGCACAAGGACAGCACAAGGCTCTGCAAGGGAGGGATGAACCTCCTGAGATCCCCTTGTCTCTGTGCTGGGTACTGTGGGAGAAGGGAAAGGAGGGGCAGGGAAAGCTCTCTGCCTCCCCTGCCTGCAGGAAACCTGAAAACAAGAGGCAGGGCTGGCAGGGAGCAGGGAAATGTCCTGGCCACCAGCAAACAGAGGTTATGGCCAGTGCTCTGGCAGGAGGGTATGTTGGGTCACCAGCTCACAGACCAGGAGGGACCTCATTTGGGTGAAGGCTTTCTGCAGGTCATAGAGCTGCACTTGTGAACTGATCCACCAGGCCCTGCTCCCTGGAAGGACACTGAGCACTGATGTCCCCACTGGGAGGTGACACTGACCCATCCAAGAGCTGTGCTTGCCTGCTGCACACCTTAAATCATGGAGTTACAGAATGGGTTGGGTTTTAAGCCACCTTAATGATCATCCAGTTCCAAAACCCCTGTCATATGGGGTTTAATCCCCTAGATTAGGTTGTTCCAAGCCCCATCCAACCTTGAGCACTTCCAGGGATGGTGCAGTCACAGCTTCTCCAAGCAACCTGTGACAGGGCCTTGCCACCCTCAAAGAGAATTTGTTTTTAATATCTAATTTAAACCTGCCCTCTTTCAGTCTTTCACCCTTGTCCCAAATCCCTCTCCAGCTCTTCTGGAGCCGCTTTAGGCACTGGAAGGGGCTCTGAGGTCCCCCTGGAGCCTTCTCCAGGTGAGCACCCCCAGCTCTGCCAGCCTGCTCCAGACCAGAGGTGTTGCATCTCCCACAGCAGCTCCGTGGCCTCCTCTGGACTTGGTTCCAACATTTTCATGTCCTTTTTGTGTTGAGGGCCCCAGAGCTGGACACAACACTGCAGCTGGAGTCTGCAAGGACAGAGCAGACTGGGACAATCCCTTCCCTCTGCTTCCTTGCTGGATTTACAAGACTCCAAACAGGCAGTGCTTTTTCAAACCTTGGATCAGTGCCACTCTCCCTTCCTTCTTACCCTGTTGTCTCAGGTTCAAGGATACAATTCCCACAGTGTGAAGAGTTACAGGGTGATATCTGAGCCATGGTTGCTGCATTTTCCAGTGCCAGATGTTCCTCACAAAGGCAAGGTGGCATTTTCACCTCATTTCTTTCATTACAGCTGTAGGTGTCCATTCCTTATCTCCCAAAGGCCCATGTAAGTCCCAGGATGAAGACCAAGGCTAAGGATCACATGAAAAGGGATTTTTTAGCACAAGGTGCAGTTAGCAGTGTCCAAAGAAATGAAAGTTTCAATGAAGTCACTGATAGTGAATCCCAAACTTGTGCTAAACCCAGGATCACCCAATTCCCCAATAAGTCAGCAGGGTATTTTGTGGGCAAAAAAAATATTTGCCTAAGTGTTTGTTGTTTTTACCTGAGTGTTCAGGTTCAGCAGGAGTGGGTGCCTCTCCCAAAGACTCTGTGTCAGGTTAGGCCAGCTCTGAATTTGTTCCTTCAGCTGGTTTTTGTGACCACACTCCCATAAATAGCACCTTGAGCCTTTACTACACGGTGGTTATTGATCCTGGTGGATAACAGCCTTTCCTGTAGAAACCAATAGTGTCTCCCACACTTGATTAGGCTGTAAATTATTGGTGATTATTTTCGTAACTTTGGACTTGGCTCTAGTTTGTTGTCTTTTTTTGAGGGGAGGAATAGTCATAGTTTATTTTCATAAGAATCTTCTTAAGGCTTATTGATGGGATTTGATTTCAGGGCTCATTTAAATGAGACACATCCTCAAAGCCTTTACTGAATCAAAGCTTAGAGCTCTCCTAGCATTTCAAGCTTTGCTTTTTTTAAAAAAACTTTTTTTTTTTCCCCCCCTCTTCACCTTTTAGCTACAGGATCCTGAGGGCAGAGATGGCGTGATAGGAGTTTCAGCTGTGAGGCTGGGGGAGCTGTGATTGCCAACAGGATGCAAGCTCATGATAAAGCACAGCTCCCTGCACTGCGATAGGTGTTGGCTGCATTTGATCCTGAACCATGCAAAACAAGAGGAACATTGCATTCCTCTGCCTCCCATTCATGTGTTTCACCACAAGGGCTGTTCCCTGGCCATTCCACGGTGAGTGTGAAAGATTAACATCTACGATAGCTGAGCCAAATCCTGGCTGCAGGTAATTATGCAGAAGGTATCTCATCTTCCCCTGGGGTCACTCTTCTACCAAGTGTTTTTACTCAAGCTGCCAGTTTTTGGGGGAGATAAACTCGCTTGAACAAGTCTCCTGAGTTGCAGAGCTGTTAGTATTGGACAGAGCTGGGTGCTCATTTCCTCTTCTACCTGTTCTCTTCTGTGCTCTTGCCAATGAAGAGAAATGCTTTGTGCTTCTTAAACTGCAGTGAGGATGTTCCCATTCCCCACAACATGGAAGCACCAGGGCAGAAAGGCACTCAGCTTTTAAATTTTGGTTTGGAATGCAAAGATGTGCCCAAAACAGCCTCTTCTGTCTCCAGTATTTGTCAGTTTGTTAGATCAAGGGAGCAATGATCACAAAATCCTAGAATGGGTTGGGTTGGAAGGGTGTCAGGGCGTGACATTGCTGGCTGGGTTCTTTTCCCCAGGACTGAGACTGATGAGACAGAGGCTGTTTTCTCATGTTTGGGATCAGTTGTTTATTCTTTCTTTATCTATATTACATAGATACAGAGTACAAGGAGCTCCACACACTGAGATAGAAAAGTGCAAAATGGAGAGCAAAGAATTTCTCCAACATCTTTAATGTGTCTATTTGTCCAATAATCAAATGCCAAGTAAGTGATTTATTTTAGTGACCCAACGACCCGACACCTGTGTGCTGCACTGTGGATTCTTTCATCCAGTCACTCATTATTACCCAGAAACCCTTAGAAAAAGAAGATGAAGAAGGAAAAAGGGGCAATGCCCTGAATCCTCCATCTTGTCTCTTATTCTCTAATATAGCTTAAACATAAAACTCTAACTTTCTCACCCAGTCACTTAAGAAAACTCTATCTACTCACACACTCACATTCCCAGTTTTTCTGCTCAACTTTAAAGCTGTCTCCATGGTTTTGTGCTGAGCTCAGGGCTCTCTTGGGTGTCAGAGCCAGGACCACAGATAAAGGCCTATTTTCTGTGCCTCTGACCCCAACAGAAGGGACCTTAAGATCATCTCATTCCATCCATTTCCATGGCAGGGACACCTCCCACTATCCCAGGTTGCTCCGAGCCCTGCCCAGCCTGGCCTGGAACAATTCCAGGGATCCAGGGGCAGCCACAGCTTCTCTGGGCACCCTGTGCCAGGACCTCCCCACCCTCACAGGGATGGATTTCCATCTGATATCTCATCTAAACCTCTCCTCTCTCACTTTAGAGGCACTGCCCCTTGTCCTGTCTTTTTATGCTCTTGTCAAAAGTCCTGCTCCAGCTCCCTTGTATCCTCCTTTATTGATGATGCTTATAGCCTCTTCTTTGGGCTTGCCCTGTTCCACCGTCCACAGAGGAAACCAAAGAACATGTCCAGATCCCTCCAGCAAAGGGGTGAGACTCTCCTCACCCAGGATTTTCACAGGAGCTCTCTACAGCTGTGCCCAGCTCTCCCTGTAGAGCCAGGGCTGAGGAAACAGCAGTCCCTGAGGGGACCTAATGTCAGTGTCCGTTTTGGGATGAAATTAGTCGTGTTCCAGCAGTTCCCATTGCTCTCCACTGCTACAAGCAGAGTCTTGAACTTCCCAGCAGTGCCTGCTGTGAGTGTTGTGGTTCCCTCTCTCAGTGAGATGCAGCCTGTGTTCATGTGAGGAGCAACAGGAAATGGGATTAGGCAGCCTAAAAGTAAGGTTATTTTCCCCTCACTGTTACTTGAAGGACAAAGAAATCAGCTCAGATTATCTGCTCCTCTGAGGGCTTCTGGCTTCATCTTTTTACTGCTATGTTTATTAATCAAATAGAGAAGCAGGAGAAGTTTTGGGATGTGTGGCTCTGCCATCCCAGCTGGTGAGATGAGCAGACTCAAAGCAGAAAATTAGTCCTGCTCCTGCAAAGGGCCCTTTTAAGATGTCTAAAGCTGCATGGACCAATTGTTTTGTATTAACTTGATTTGGCACAGTTTGCTCTGTTGCCTCTTTCATAGAGAAGAGCCGCCTTCCTCCAGAAACTGAAAACCACCAGCATTTTCTAAAAGTGGGCAATGACAAAAGAAAAGGGAAATAGAAAACCAGCCATTAAAAAAAAAACCCAAAAACCTTTTAAACAGCTGATGAAATACATATCATGCAACCTTCAGGGAACTCAGACAAACCTTGGCATGCTCCAGTCACCAGAGGTGCAAATGGAAATGTAGGAAGTGTGGTGTGAAATTGTAGGACCCTCCTGGTTCTGCAGCCCGCGCCCAGAAAGCGCCTTGGCATGTTTCTGAAGTGCAGATTTAGCACAGCATCCTGGGAGAGCACATTTCAGTTCCTGCATTTCATTCATTTTTATGCCTTTCTGATGCAGATGCAGCTGAACTGTACCATTGATTCATGTACACACCTCTTTTCCATATAGATGATGACTGCATCAAAGAAGCCAGTGCTCTGAAATAGCACACAGAGAAATACCACAGCAATTCTCATTTGGAGTCTATAGTGGGAGAGCAATTTCCAAAAATGAAGGGCAAGGTTCCTAATCCATAGCAGCTTTTTGCCAGAGAGATGTGGGAGAGAAGAAACAGGATGCATCCTGCATGAATCATCTCTGTAACCACCCTGGATTTATTAACTGAGATTATGAGGAATAACCAAAAATGATTAAAATCTCAAATGTCTGGTGAAAGGCGTCTCCTCAAGCACTGGGTGTTGTGAGATAGTGCCGTAGTCTTCCTGTTGATCTCAAAGACTTGAGGGCTAAAAGGTCAAGTTTTCAAGACCAAATAATTCATTGTTTAAAATGATGAGACAACCGTCATCACCACCTATCAGAGAGGGGTAAAGACATCCCCAGGCCCTGGGATCTTTGTCCTTCCCCAAAACAGGGTGACTACAACCACCCCTTTTCCTTTCCACTCACCAGCTCATCGGTATTTGCACAGCTGCTGCCTCCCACTCCTACCTTAGAGACCCCAAATTCCCCCTTCATTACCACCATCCCCAGCCTGTAGATTCACCCTCACCAAGGTGTTGAGATACGTCCTTTGCATGGAGAATGCCCAGGTTTGGGGCCCAGGTTTTGGCAGAGCAGTGACATTTTCTCCTTGAGGTTCTTCCTCCGGGTGTTGCTTTGTGAACCCACCCCTGACTGCCTGGCCAGGAGGAGAAGGGCACAGGCCACCCCCATGCTGGAAGTGGCTTTTCTGTATCCAAAATTATGCTCAGTACTGCATGTTCTGAGCTGCTGCCTTAGATCTTCCCCCAAAACAGTCCCTGAGATCCCAGAAGCTGGGAACTCTGCGAGCTCAGGGGGTGTGAAGGACCCATGGGACGATTGCTGGAAGGAGCAGGACTTTTCTTGCCCTTCAAGTCACATCCCTTCCAGTGCCCTTGCTCCATGTTTCACAAGCTTATTTGTACATTCAAATTCTCCTCAGTTGTGTCCTGGCTACCACAGACTCCAAATCAAAATTCCTGCTCTATCCAGCAAGTCCTGCAGGGCTGTCCTTGGCAGCTGGCTCTTGCAGGCTCCTGGAAGGAAGCTTGGGTTGCTGCTTTCCTTTGCTGATTATCTCCCAATATCAGCTGCAGATCCCTGCCCAAGCTCCCCCTTTCCCTGTCCTAGGACAATTTCACTGTGCAGGAACTCCAGAGCCCTTCCTGCTGTGGTTCAGCCCCGTGAGCTCCCTTTGGGATGGGTGTACAGGAATTGTGTGGCCCTTCATTTTCCACGTGCTGGCCTGAGTTTCTGCCCACTCCCAGCCTTGTCCAAATCTCCCAGGAGGGAGCTTTGTGGTCCTCGACAGAGAAAGCATCACTGCAGTAAGAAATACTGGAGAATGAGAGTCCAGAGCAGCTCCTGAGTGCCTGGAACAATCTGGGAGAGAAAAGTTTCACTGGGTAACATCAAGAACTCACAGTGAAGCTTGGGGTACACAGCCCTCGTCTCTCTCTGTGGGTCTGTTCCCACACCCTGTTTGCCAGCTGCTGATGGAGAAGTGAGGAGGGAAGCAGAGGTGAAAATATTCCTCCCAGAGGGGTCTGTTTCTCCTTGGGCAGCCGTCAGGATCTGTGGATAACAATGTGTTTCCTCTGTATTTTAGAGGGGCCAAGAGAGGCAGGGAAGCTCAAAACTAAATCACCAGCCAGGTCATTTCCACTTCATGCTGTCAGAGCTCAGGCAGAGGGAAGAGAAGGGCTGTTTGTTGGCTTTTCCCTTCCCAGCTCAACAGGCACAGTGATACTTCAGCATCCTGGAAAACACAGAAGAGGTGGGTGGCTCTACCCAGGAGCAAAACAGCTTAAATTGTAGCACTTAAAGACAGGGACATCCTGTCAACATGAGGGCTTCTGTATAAACCAGCCAAGGGGTGAGAAATCTGGGAGGGATTTGCCAGGCAGAAGAGTGGGTGAGGAAATCCTGGGACCAAGGACTGGAAAGGGCACTGAGAGACCAGGCAGCCTCTCCGTGGTCTGCATGGCTCAGCTCTGGGATCTGCATCCTTGAAGGCTCTCCCCACATTCAGGGGTGTTCATCTGGAGAGGCTGGATACCCACTCCTTGCTATTTTTAAACCTGAATGTTAATATCTTTAATTGCCAGAGCTCCAGGAAGAGAGCCAGAGCTAAAAAGTATCTACTAAGAAACTGCCAAGAAATACTGTTAAACAGGATCTAGGAAAAAAGCCAGGCACAAAAATTTATGATCTTTATCTCTGCAATAATAATTTCTCAGTGGTCAACCGAGGAGCAGAACAAAGGTCACTGGTTTTGTATCAGCTGGAGTTTGTGAAATCCTTTGTTTCCTTCCCTGTGAGTTTGTCCTGTGGGTCTCCTGCCGAGACCCTACAAATGAACACAAAAACCTAACAGTCCAGACTGACCCATTTGTCCCCATTCTTTCCCCAAGACACAAAAACTGCTAAACCCACCTCGCATGAACAGTCACGTTGATTTTATCTAAGAATTTGCATTTGCACAGATGCAAGAACCACCCTCATCTCAGGTTTCCTTCTTTCCAGCATAATGGGGGACAAGCAAGGGACCCATGAAGACCTCTGCAAATAAATTAAAGGAGAAGAGGCTCTCTTTTTATTATTATTTCCTGGTTATATAGTGGAAACAATTCGAGGCAAAATATACACAGTTTGCTTCTTGACATTGCTGCCAAGATTCCCAACTTTACAATGAGGATCAAATTTCAGAATACTTCCAAACCAACCCCCACAAAAATTAATTGACTATCCAGGAAACTCTTGGCTTTGGATGTTGTTTATTTTTAAGGTAAAGTTCTGATCCCAGTGACTGCGGAGGGAAACTTTGAAAATATGATCTCTGTGAGCCTTAATGACTCAGAGGGTGGGATTCAGTGCCCACACACCAGAGCCTGGTGCCATCTGAGATGCCCTTGTGTATCTGAGACATCCCACAGTGCTGGCAAAGGGACACAGAGCTGAGGGAAGACGAGCAGTCCTCAGAAGCAAGAGCTGGAGTCTGGGGCTGGATACCCCAGAGCTTCTAACTTGGCTCTGGGAAATGGTGTTTAGACAGCCAAATCCAGCCCTAACGCACACATATAAAATATATATAATCAAATCAATCAGCCACTCAATCAATCACAGGAGATACTTCCAGATCTTCGGGTTTCAAGTCAGCTCTGGAGGCAATTTAAGCAGTATTTCAACACTCAGGACTGTGTTAGAAACACACTATTCGCTTCACTGACACTTCCAAGCATGCTGAAGCACTCAGCTGGCCCAGGCTCCCTGCTCCCACCCTTGCTGCTCACGTCCTCTTCTCCATCCTCTGTTCCTTCTGCAGCTCTACCACAGATTGCAAGAGAAAGAGCTGAGGATTTTTCATATTATTTTTTTTTTCCAAAGGAGAGGTGTGCAAAATGCAGGAGGCAAAGACTTTCCACTGGGCAGAGCTGTGACGAGGTTTATGGTGCCCTGAGGGGTAATAGAAGGGGCTGGCACATCAACCACCAGCAGCTCTGGGGCAGCATTACCTCAGAAAGTCAGCGCCCTCACTGACAGGATATTTTTAGTTTACCCAGTGTATTTAAATCATCATGGAGTACATTAAAATTATAGTAATTATCCCACCTTCTCATGTGGGATTCTGGGAGGTGATGGATTGGTGGATCGTGTGCTCGTTGGAGTCATCTTTGGTGAGGTCCTTCTGCAAAACAGAATAGTTTTGTTTTCCCCATTTCACAGCTGCAGCACTGCTGGCCCATTAATGGCTGTCATTTGAACACTGGGATCTGTTCACAAACCACCCTTCCCTCTCCAGCAGCCCAGAGCCGACACAACCCCCGTGACACCAACTCCTTCAAAACAAAAATGCATTTACACGCTCCTGGGGCTGTGAGCTTCCACATGCAGGCGAGGCTGATGTTTTCTTCATGGCAGTATTTAACCTCTGAATCATTTCTGCTTTCCCCTGCGTGGCTGCACTGTGGGGAAGTGCAGGGAAACCTGATTGTGCCCCAGCCCCTGCTCTCATCTCGCTGCCCCACCAGTGCAGGCAGGAGAAGGGGATTTTTTTCACTGCAGCAGCAGCAGCAGCAGCTTTGGAAAAGAACTGTGAAAAAATGCAACTTTTTTCACAGGGAAAAAAAAAAATATATTCTTTCCCAGATCAGAAGCTTCATGTTTCTGATTGCAAAGAAAAAAAAATAGGGAGGGATTGAACAGAACAATCTTGACAAAGAAATAATTTCCCTTAAAAACTGTCATCACCAAATTCTGGATAATCTCCATTTTTAAACCCTCTGTTGAAGGACAGTGCATCTGATTTCAAGATAAGGTCTCTTCTTTTTTGTTTCTTTTCAGGAAAACAGGAATATTTGTCTTAAAAATGGTTCCTGAAACTTCTTGATGGATCAAAGGTAAGGAGAAGTCCCCAGCATCTCTCTTGGTGGAGTGGCAGGTTTCTGCCAAGCCTTGATCTGTTCCCCAGCCTAGAGTGGCCTTGGAGGCTCCCCCAGCCCAGCAGGACCTTGCAGGTCCCTCCAGCCCTCGGGATCCCAAAGCACTGTGGCAGCTCTGAATCCCTGTGGGGTGTGAGGAGCCCCCCCGTCCTCCTCTGCACATGGGGAACCTTGCCAGCATCTGGCCATTCCCCTGCCTCACACCCATGTTCTCTGGCCCCTTCCCAGCTCCTCCAGCAGCATGTTCCTCATTATTTACTTTCTCTAAATGCTGCAGAAAAATGCTGCTTCTCCTGAATACTAAGTAAGGAAGGGGGGGAAAAAAAAAAAGCTCATTCCCTTGCTGGACTGTGTTTGTTCTGTGGTTTGAAGCTCGCTGTTGCTGCTGAAAGCTTTTTTGACCCTTGTAGGTATTTGATCCAAGTGACCCCTGGTGTTTGGGGCACTGATACAGTCCCACACCGAGCTTGTTCTTGCACAGATCTTAAATATCTGTGCATCCATCTATCCATACATACAACCACCTTCCTCTCTCTCTTGCTCTCTCTCCTTCCAGCGCTATCTGATCAGTTCTTGGCTTTCCCTACACTTCTTTCATCGAATTAATATCTTTCCCCTGAGGATGTGTTCTCCTTCTCCCGGGTTTTCTCTTTTTACACCCTGTCATTTCCCTCTCCCTCCTGCCTCCTTCTGACCCTCTCCCCTTCCCTCCACGCTGCCAGTTTCAAGTTGCCTTGTGTACCCAGCATAAAGCAATAAATATATATGTTTATATATATATATATATATGTATTGAAATGGGATGATTTCCACTACTGTAAGGAGTCTGGCCCATTAATTTCAATAGTGGAGCTGACAGCCCAGGCCTGGAGTCTCATTGCCTGGTGACACATGAGCACAGCTGCTCGAACTTGACAGGGAACTGTTTCCAGCACCCCGGCTGCACATCTGCAGGAGGAAGGAAATTCTTTCTGTAGCACTGGAAAAAATAAAGCTGCCTAGATTTCCCTCCCTCCCCCCCCGCC